AGTTGATTAGTTCGGTTGGTCTGGATAGAAAAAAAAGGAAAAACCTTGGCGTATTTTGACCAATTTATATCTACATACCTATGATTGTTATTTGGGGGTTATACCCATAACCTGAAGCTAATAACCCCTGGTCCTCTCACTGTGTAGTACATGTAATTCATTGACAATGTTTGATTTAAATGTAGGGGCCGCGTGGTTTGGATGGAGCGGCTGGCGATATTGGAGCACCTGTAAGTTTGACGCATACTTAACTTGTACATTAGAACAATTTAGTTTATCAGTTATGCGGTCAGTCGTGCATGCTCAAAACCTCAAGGCACAATCATTGGGGAAGACACTGTAATGAGGCACTTGAGCATACCCACTTTGTTTCCAAGAGTATCACAACAAATTCAGTCTTGTCAAGTATACGCAAACATTTATGGTAGTAGCGTTTATTTGAATGGTCGGACATAAGGCTCATCTACAAATTCAAGAGAAGAAACCAATATTTACAGCTAAATATTTTACGTTAAAGGGCTGCTCAATAACCTCTATTTAGTGATAACATACTTGATAACAAATGGACTTTGATTATGCTGTCATTGGTAAATTTCTCTCTGTAGGGATTCGCAGGCCCCCGAGGTGAGGCGGGCCCACAAGGCAAGCCCGGAATGACGGTAAGGCAGATTTTTTAACCTATCATATTATACGCTGTTACACTTGGCAATTGTTCTTACCAGTTGTGCCGCTGCGAGGCAAGTTCCTCAACGCTTTAAAAATTTTTTAGTTTAACTTCCAGAGGAAATTCCTAAGAAATTCATCGCAGCTTTGCCACAATTGTTGCAAAAAGTAGAACTCATTTTTTACTGGTAACACTTGCTGAAAAACCAAACCAAACAAGGAAAACTGTAACGGCAAAGCAAAACTTAAAAACAAAGGCAACGATGTTCCGGGAAATGTTCGAATCACCGTGTGTTGTTGTGGGTAATTTTTCTTGTAAGTTGTGAACACTAGTTGTACTGCGCATTTACTTAACCTTAAATGTACCTCTTTTCTTAGCTTCAAATTGTTGGAAATGTTCTTGCCTCTGTTGCTTTTAAAGACGGTATATAACTTCCACAGTAAACGGGGCATGCATGTTGAGTAGCATTTGTTTCGCATCAAACACTTGGCGTGTCATGTTTCTCGTGGTATACATGATACCACGATCGAATTTAGACTATTTTCAGTCTACCATTTTTAAGTATTGTACTCTCCAGCATTTGTGTAGCATGCGTTGTACTGTATGCAATCCATCTTCTTGTAACTGGATTAATCAGCATCATAGTTGACTTGCACCTTGCGTAACTTGATTGATAGGGCCCTCAAGGATTGACAGGTCCTGCCGGTAAAACTGGAGTCCAAGGAGCTGCAGTAAGTCCACTTTAAAAACCACTGTGTTTGTACTCAAAGTGCTCGTGTAGGGATTCAGCCAACATGTCCCTATTATAAGAAATACATCTCCCGATTTTAGGTCTGGAATAATGTAGGAATAATTATATGAAATAATCATAGAGAATAACTGTACAGAATAATTATAGAGAATAATAATTATTGTAGAGAATAATTATAGAGATCCGTGTCACGTTGTAGGCTAATTTGGGGACCAATATGCAGATTTAATAGCGTTATGTCATTTGTTTGGGATTAAGTAGCAACAAATTCGTAGTTTCTCTCACAGGGGATGAAATTAGTGGAAACACCTGTTTTCAGGCTAAACGCAATGATATCACTTTCCATTTGCACAACATAGGTTGTGGTTTGTAATACAGTTAAATGATAAACGTGAATAGGTTTGGAATCGTTTAAATTGAAGGAATCCTCAAAATAATAGATCCCTAATAAAGAAAAAGACGAAAATAGTTGTAATAGATAAGGATGCCAAGACTGAGAAAGATTGGACCAATTTGGCCAGTGTTGTTCCAGACGCGCGTTCCCCAGCGTAGCTCCTTGTAAGGTTGGTTTTTAAGGTTGTTTTTTTTTTCCCATGAATTTCTTGACTTTTGTTCACATTTTATTTTGTCGTTGAAAGGGACCCGAAGGACCAGCTGGAGGAACAGGACCAACTGGCGAGAAAGGAAATACGGTAAATCTTTCTTGTCACATTGCAATATCACGAGGTTAGATTTAACACCTTCCATTTTCATGTCAAATTTGACCAGTTTGAATGTAACACATTCCATTTCCCGGTCCAAAGTCCTTCGTTACGATTCTGAATGTAAGAAGGTCCATTTTCCTATCAAAATGGCCATGTCACGATTTTGGAAAAAAGTATTCCATTTTCCTGTCGAAATCCACTTATCGCAAGTTACAGCTGTGTTTGTATCAAGGATGTTTCTAAGAGCGGTTTTCAATTGAGTGAGGAAAGGAATCAGGCAATCACTTGTTTTTAGTTTTGGTTTTGGTTTTGCGATGTACTGTCTAGTCTAATTGGTAAGTAATTGGTTTGGTTTCGGTTTTACGACTCTCATTTGAAATCCCTTCTGTTAACGTTATGAAGTGGTAACCACGTGGCTTTTTTGGAATCTATTATGTGCAAATAAGATTAGCATTTGGGCGCTGGGAACTTTCGGAGTGTGCTAAATTTTAACTGCTGAAGTTACTTTCATATTGATGTATTCATTTGCTAGAATTGCCTCTTGTTTCACCCTCCTCACCACCACATTAGTACTCGGTAGGAAAGCAGTAAGTTTTAGTTATGATCGTCACACCCGTCCACCCCATATTATGTACTGTACATGGAAGTTGGAAGCGTGTGGCGTTGGAGGTAATCAGACAAGGAGCGAGACACAAAGTAGGGTAGTTGACTCTGATGGATATCTACAACACTGACTGACACTGTCATTAATTCCCGCTCAGGAGGTTGGAGAGTTGCATCTTCTTATCATGTCAAGCTTTATTCATCATCATTTTATTATTTTTGTTTCCAGGGTCCAGAGGGTGAGGTTGGACCTGTCGGTGCTCAAGGTAGACCTGGAGCTGATGTGAGTAGACCCTCTTGATGTTATCAGTGTGGTTCATTTCCGTGAACCGAAATCGCGCTAGAAGTACCCTTTCTTCATCTGTAATGAGAAAAGAAAGGTATTTCGGCATATTTATATTGTTGGTTAAAAGGACTCAGTCAGTTGTGCTGTAGCCTTCGGTTCAGTTTAGTTTATTTCGCAGTCCCATTGGTCGTTAGCGGTTTGTTAGTGTTTGTTGTTGTGAAGAGTGAATGTTGCCGTCGCATGTTGAACATAAAAAGTGTGAGTTTGAAGTTTTATTTTTTGTTTTAGTCATGGTAGCACTTCAGGCAGGCTACAGGTGTTACAAATGGCTGAGGGAAACTAAGAATTTTAATTGATAATGATGATGATGATTACTAATTAACAACAGACTAGAATCCATATGTCTTAATATACCCTATGTGACTCTCCACAGGGGCTTCCAGGGGATGCCGGACCTGTTGGTGAGCGTGGACCAAAAGGCGAAACGGTAAATAACGCTAGCAGTATATGAAATAAATTTATAAAAAAGACGTTAACAAAGTTAGCGTTGAAAACGCAGTGAAACAGAGAATTTAAATTATAATTTTCTGGCTAAGAATCTTACGATTTTAACGGTCTTCCCCAAGTTTTTCAAATTTCTTCGGTTCAACCAGTTTTGAGCTCTGTTATAAGACTTTGGAAAAAGCAGTGTACAAGAAGCATTGCAACAGAACTGTGTAAGACATTGATCTTCTTGTCTGGATGTTCCCTATTTTGACACAGAAAATCAGTCTTTAGATACCTATGCTTGGCTTTCTTATTTAATGAAACTAAATAAGTGAATCATTTTCGCCTTAGCAAGTTCAACTAAGCGGTTAACACTGAAATTTTTGCAGTCACCATTACGACCTTTAGGGGATGTGTATATTGTACCCACTTCACTTACTGAAAAGTAGAAATGGTTGTCTCTCTCCAAAAACGGGTCAATGACAATGCTACTAACTTGAGAAATATTTGAAATATTCTTGCAATCAGTTATTGCAGTAAGGCAATTCTCTGACACCTTTCTAGGGAGAGGATGGGCAAGCTGGAATTCCCGGACGAGATGGTCCTTCAGGAATGAGGGTAAGAGACAGCGCTTGCATTAAACCTGAGCACCATTTTACAAATGCTTTTTTACTAACGTGTTTTTTCTGTTTATACATCAGGGACCCTCTGGGGATCCGGGCAGTGCTGGAGCTCCTGGGCCGCCAGGGCCGATGGTAAGTTCTCTGCGCAGACTCAGGAAACACGTGCCACTTTCTTAACCAATCAGAAGTGAAACCAAACCCAATCGTGGCTCACGCGCGCACGTTTTCCCGCGCTTTTCGTCAGCTACGTGTAGTCGTTTCAAATCTTGATTGGTTCACTGGATTGTCCGTGTTCTTTGTGTTTGGCCGAAGTGACTGCTTTGGTTTTGTTTCATGATACACAATTTAAAACCGCTCTATTATTTTGTTTCAGGGTGATTCTGGCGGACGGGGACCCAGAGGCCAAAATGGACCACCTGGAGATCGAGTAGGTTGAAAATGTTATTGTTCATTGCGCACTGACATATTCACTGTTTAATCTTTGCTCCGTGAAACTCTTCACCATTATGGCCATATTTTGTATCTTGTATTTTTTGTGTCTGTACTTGAAGTATTGGCGGCAAGAGGTGGGGTATTCTAATAATCAGCATTTGTCCTCAGAAGGAGGGCTGCAATCTCCAACGTTTTGTATTAAGTTCCTAGGCAAGACACTTTCTTCATACAGTGTATCCACCATGGGTATAATTGTTAAAAGACAGAACTGATAGGGAAATCTCGGAAAATTCTTAGAGAAACTTGGCTTGAGCAGTTGTCTCATCCAGGACAAAAAAAGCCAGTGCTTCCTGTTGCTTGAAGGTCCATCATTGTGGATCAATTGTGCTTGACTGCACATTATATTTATCAACCTCGCATTGCCTGTCCAATCAGAAGCCAGTTAAGTCTGATTTATAGAACATGCCGTCAAAGTGCACAAAACGGTTCTGGCTCACAAACTCGTCAAAAAAGATCTGGTCAAACTAGGGCAACACCATGATAACTTAATGGTAATAAGATAAAACTGTAAGGTAAAAAGCTGTTACAATTATGAGTCTTAACGTTTTCGATCTGTTTGATCATAATCAGAGATCATCATCATCATCACTCTGATGATGATCAAACAGATCGAAAACGTTAAGACTCATAATTTTAACAGCTTTTTGCCTTAAAGTTTCATATTTTACTTTTATCGGCGAAATGTAT